CTTTGAGCTTATCTCTACATCCCAGGGCCTGAATCTCAATAGTCTCTTTGAGAAACAAATGGTATGGTTAAATTTGAAAAACAAACGTAAAATTGTAATTGTTCTATATCATGCTGTTGTTTTTCTTTGCTTAATTGGCAAGTCTTAACCTTTCCTCTCCAGTTCTGATTATTTAGTTTATTCATAAACATAAAGTTTAAGGAAACAGCTGACATTTCTTTAACAAACCAGGATCTTGTTAAACGAGAAACAAGGTTCACATCCAAACGTCCTGCAAATGAGATAATTTCTAAAATTGAGGAAGCTGCAGCACCTTTGGGATTTGGGGTAAAGAAAAATAACTTCAAGGTAAATGGCTATGCTCTTGCATTTCGATTTTCTTTCTCTATTTTACTGGGGAAAGTGGACTTTAAAGCTGGGGAAAATGCGTCGTTATGTGACACATTTCCATGCCATTATTTATATCTCAGTTGAAGCTGCAAGGTGAAAAAACGGGACGTAAAGGCCATTTATCCGTTGCAACAGAGGTTTGCCTCTTTCATTTTCATTTTTCGTTAGGTTTTCACTCTTTTTTTCCTTTCAAATTTTCTTCTTCTGTTCATTTGACATTCCCTTTGATAATGGATATTACAAAATGACTTTCTTTCCAGATTTTTGAGGTGGCCCCCTCACTCTACATGGTTGAGGTTCGCAAGTCCGGGGGAGACACTCTGGAATTTCACAATGTATGTTAACGTTGATGCACTAATTGATCTAATAAGTATTTTATATTCATCTAATTAAGAGAAATTAAGGACAACTACACCACAGAAGAGTGCCCTAATGGATTGGACGTGTTATTAATCCCTTGCAGCATTAGGGTTATTGCACATCTAGCTGCAGCTTGGGCAATCACACAACTTTTGAAATTGCACATATCTTGCACCATTATGTGTGCTGTGTTGCGAAATTTTGTCCTTTGCATATATTTACTCGATTGTCTTGTATTTACAGTTCTACAAAAACCTGTCGACGGGGCTGAAGGATATAGTCTGGAAATCAGCAGATGAATCAAGGAAGGAAGCAGATGGTGGTAAGCATCACCTTCTAATCTGTCTAAATTCTAAGATTAATCACAGAGCATATCGTCCTGTCTTCCCCAACAATCCCTTTTAAAGTGAAACCCTCGGACACTTCTTTTATCCCGCAGGTGCAGGTGCAAGTGCAGGTGCTGGTGCAAATGCAGGTGCTGGTGCTGGTGCTGGTGCAGGTGCAGGTGCTGGTGCAGGTGCAGGTGCTGGTGCTGGTGCAGGTGCTGGTGCTGGTGCTGGTGCTGGTGCTGGTGCAGGTGCAGGTGCTCGTGCTGGTGCTGGTGCTGGTGCTGGTGCAGGTGTTGTGCCATCTAGATGATTGACTTCCTCGGGCCTCGGCCGAACATGTTGATGGGGTTTTATAGCTATATTCTGTTTCTCTCTTCAAATTTTTGGGTGAACGTTGTCAGGTGTTTGTTGTTGTAACTAATAAGCAGCACTTGGGGTTATATCCTTGTAGTGACCCTGTCATTCAGAATGCGTTATGTACTTGTTAGGGTTTGTATCCTTCGAGAGAGAGAAGAAGATTTAACGACGAATTAGACTTCTCTTTCCAAATACAACTACATTTTATAGTGACTATATATATATAAGAGATGTAAATTTGTATTACTTTTGGAAAGTGTTTAAATCCTCCGTTGGGGGTATTTTGGAAAGTGTTTAAATCCTCCGTTGGGGGTATATTACTCTATCGTATAGGCAAAAGGTAATAGGCATTTGATTTGGGGTGTTTTGCCTTTTTACGAGAGAAAAAGCTAAGGAAACTTTTTCAAAGTTGGTCTTTTCGTCCATTCTTTGTCATTCATGTTTAGTGCACAATATTTTATAATGTTATTGCGGGAATTGATGTTAAACTGTGAGGTAAGAGAGAGTCTATATAGAGTTCCCTTAGCATGTATATGTACCTAAGGTCTTGAAGTGAGTTGTGATATTTTTTTTTCCGCTAGAACTTTAATGTTTTTTTTTTAGAAATCAAATAGAAAATATGCATAAACTTATTTTTTTTGTGTAAAAAATGTCACGTATCATTTATTTAAGTGATAAAGTTTAAATGTAAAGGTTAGCGCAAATGTTGCTAACGATTTTCAAACTAAAAGTTAAAAACATAATCGTTATCAAATGACTGTAAAAAGGTCTAGTCACAGTGTCAAACCACCCTTAATTAACGATCATAAAAGGGTCTAGTCACAGTGTCAAACCACCCTTAATTGAAAATCACTCGCTAAAAGTAAATCATATTTAAAAGACTAATAAGATAACCAGGCAATAAAAAAAACTAGGCTGATCTAGTTAGAAAGTTTTTATTGTGCGAAAAGCGTGTTAATATATAAATAGAGAAAAAATTTATTTTTTAAATTGTTAATTTTTTACATAATTATCTAACTAATTTTATAATAACACGTGATGTACCACAATGTGCTCCGTTCACATTGAAAAATCTCGGTTTAGTCACGTTGTCCATCCAGCATAGAGTTAGGAGAATCCTCGCCGGAATCTCCAATCACATCCGTTCATTGTATATCGTGCGGTCATAAATTATTGTAAATTTTTTAATTTAAAATTGAATATAAACAGTACCTGACAAAAACTGACCACATAATGTACGATGAACAGATGTGATTGGAGGATTCTTAAGATTCTTACAGAGAGGATCCGGATCCTCTCTAAAAGCATAGAGGGAGTAGGTGGGTGGGTCCAACTCCAAAGCCCTGACTCCAATGAAATTCAAAACCCGAACCACTAGCATCCCCGCCCGCCCATGGAACCGACCCACAGTTCCACCGAAAGCCTAAAAGGAGTGAGAGTACCATTTACGCGCCACACCACACGCGTTCGGTACTCGCTATAAAAACGCACGCACTCTTTCGTATTCTCTGCTTTCGAAAAAGAATATTGTGGGGGAAAATCAACAGAAGCAATGAGGGAGGAGGTCATCAGCTCCGGAGGGAACGTTGATCCTGCTCCTGCTGCCAGGTACCCTTTCCTCTCTCTCTCTCCCCTCTTTCTCTCTCTAAACCTCCGTCTTTGTCAAGCTTCTCGGTCTTCGCCTTCCTCCAATTTCTGCTGCTGATCCAATTAGGGTTTTGCATTTGATTGCTGTTTGGTTCGAGCTGCGACTGTAGTGTTCCAATTTGTACCAATTTGTGCAGTTAGTGTTAGGATTTGGTTAATTTATGTGTCGAATTGGTCGATTTGTTCCTCTGTTTGGTAACTTGGTTGCTCGGATGGTGGAGTGCTGGAGCTTCAGCTTCATTTCCTAATGGTGCATAATTTTCAGCTTAATTCAATTAAACCTGCTATAAAGAATTAAACTTCGGTTAATTAGATTTTGTTGTGTGTATTAATGTTCAATTTTGGCTAAATATGTCTGCTTTGCGTTTGATAGTTCGGCGGGGGCATCATCGCCAACTGTTCCGGCAAATGTGGGCAGTGTGGATGGGTCGATTCATGGACAAGGCTCTAAAGGAGCATCTATATCTTGTGTTGGTTCGCAACCCCCGATGACCTCTTTGAGCACCAGTGCTGGAGGAGGTGGTGGGGGTAGCTCTGTTTTCGGATCATCAAGACTGTCGTGTAGACCTTGGGAAAGAGGGGACTTACTGCGCCGCTTGGCTACTTTTAAACCATCAAATTGGTTTTCGAAGCCCAAGGTTTGTACTTTAGCTGCTATATATCCATAAACTCAAGTCTTTCAAATCTGAAGCATTTACTTCCATTTTAAGTCATTTAGAACACACACGCATATAGATAGTATAATTATGTATAATTAAGTTGTCTGTCCATTTAATAAATATTATTATGTTACATAAATGAAGTACCCATTTGTAGGCTCATCGTTTAGTAAATTTCAGATAAATTTTTTTTATACATTACGAGTCTCGTACATGTTATCCCCTAGAAGTGAAATATGATCTTCTTGGACAACTTTTAAACGTTCAACTGCTTACAGTTGAACTTCCCGCCACAAATCTTTCATTTCCTTCCTGCAATAGGCTCATGACAGTCTCAACTTATCTAACTTTTGCTTATGTCATTTCTTTCAGGTCATCAGTTCACTGGCATGTGCTCGGAGAGGTTGGGTGAATGTTGATGTTGATAAAATTGCATGTGAATCATGCGGCGCATCCCTTGGTTTTGCTTTGTTGCCATCTTGGACTCCTGATGAAGGTTGGCTATAGCTGTCTTAGGGGATTTCTAGTAATTTACGTTTAAAACAATGTCTTTCAAAATACATGTTTATAATTTATAAACTTACACAGCCTTTGTTTTATTATGCGGATTACATCGCAACTCCCTAATTATTTCTGAGAAGACTTTCCTGGAAGCTTCTGATTCTTTTCAGCTACATATCATGTGCATGATAGATTTTATATTTCTGATTTCACATGTAAATGCTGCGGTGTTGCTTTTGGCATGTTCATTATACCCAAAAAAATCTTTTAAAAAAAGTACGAAAAATTGCGCTTAGAGTGACTTCTTTTGTTATTAAGGCATTATATTATTTGGTTGAAAGTTGTCTTTTAGTCTACTACATCTATATTTGTTTCAGTTGCAAAATTAAAATCTAAATGAGTAGTTGTTGTCCAAACTGTGGGCGGAGTTAAATTTCTTCCTTCTGGTTAGGCTGCCTTGTGACCCAGTCTAAACATCTGAAGGATGCACCTTTTGGATTGATCCAACTGGATTGTATTCTGTTTTGGGCTAAGTGTTTGTTTGTTTTAGTTGGATTTTCCTGCTGGACTTCTTGCACATCTTGCTCTGCACTTCACTTTTCACCTGTTAATAAATCCTTGTTTCTTATAAAATAAAGTATAATGATGCTAAACTTCATTTTTAGAATACTCTATTTCTTCTCTTTTTTATATAATCAGAAATTGTGTTAAGAATTCTATAGTATCTACATAAGCTTGTCTATTCCTACTTTTTAATTTTTTTTTGTTCTGTCCTTTTCATTTCAATGTGAAGTTCAAAATGCGGGGGATGCCTTTGTAAAGCAGCTGGATTCCGATCACAAAGTTGCTTGTCCTTGGAGAGGAAACAGCTGCCCCGAAAGCCTGGTGCAATTCCCCCCTACCCCTCAGTCTGCTTTAATTGGGGGATATAAGGATAGATGTGATGGACTTTTGCAATTCCACTCTCTACCTAAGGTAGCTGCATCTGCAATTGAGCAAATGTTGGTTTCTCGGGGTCCGCAGGTTGATCGCTTTCTTATGGCAGGGGAAGTAGATTTTAAACCAGAAAGTATACCAGAACAGGAAAGCTCCCGAGATGGATCAATCTGTTTATATTCTCGTGTAAGAGTTAATTATAAACTTCTCCCTGTTGGTGGTTTGTTGTATTGGTCAAATTACTGAAGTATATGTTCTTCTAACCCAATACCTTTCTATTATCAGGCTCAGAAGCTTATAAGTCTTTGCGGATGGGAACCAAGATGGCTTTTAAACGCGCAAGACTGTGAAGAACATTCTGCCCAATCAGCTAGAAATGGATATTCTCTCGGGCCGACATATGCCCAGGTCCATCTTTCACAAGAACCTGGACCAAGCAAGAAAGCAGTCTCTGCTTCTGCTAGAAAAGATGCTGGAAAGAGTAAAGTGTTGGTTAAGGAATCTAGACGTGATCCCAGATCACCTTTACTAGATTGCAGCTTATGTGGGGCTACAGTTAGAATATTGGATTTCTTAACCATTCCTCGACCTACGCGATTTACTCCCAATAACATTGATCTTCCTGACACAAGCAAAAAATTGGGATTTACACGTGGCGCAAGTGCAGCCAGTGGAATTAGTGGTTGGGTTTCTGCTGATGATGCTGAGAAAGGCCAAACTGAAGACCGTGACGAAGTAGCAACAACAACTGAGGGAAAAACGGATGTTGATTTGAATCTTACTATGGGAGGGGGTTTTACTTTTAATCGGTTTGGCAGACCAGAAATGTCTGAAAACATTCAGGATGGAGATATGGGGAGGGATCTGATGATTGGGCAACCTGCAGGCAGCGAGGTTGGTGATCGAGCCGCTTCATATGAATCAAGGGGTCCCAGTTCTCGTAAGCGGAGTTTGGAAATAGGAGGCAGTTCTGTTGATAGGCCTCATTTAAGGACGCAGCACACTGATAGTGTTGAAGGAACTGTCATTGATCGTGATGGTGATGAAGTTACAGATGGTGGACAATACTCAGCTGGGCCTTCAAAACGTGCTCGTGATTCAGATATGTTCGATACGTACTGTTCCTCTGGTGCTGGTCCCAGTCATTCAATGGGTATTGATATTTACGCTGATGCTAATAGAGTTGCTTCATTTCCGCAAGGTAGCGACCAATTTGGAATCCATTCAAATATGGATTCAGCACGTGCATCTTCAGTCATTGCAATGGATACAATCTGTCATGGCACAGATGATGACTCTATGGAAAGTGTTGAAAATTATCCAGGAGATGTTGATGATGTTCATTTCCCCACTTCTAGTACATATGGAAATCTGGACATGAATGATACATCAGAATTGAATTACAGTAATCAAGCTCAGCAAAGCGTTGGTTTTCAACCTGTGGCTGATGCAGTCTTGGGGAAATGGGTGTTAGTAGTACAAATGATGGGGAGGAAATTTTTAACACAGAAACTGTGACAGCTCAGGCCAGGGATGGTATTAGTTTCGGGATTAGTGGCGGAAGTGTTGGAATGTGTGCTAGTCATGAAGCTGAGATTCATGGTGCTGATGTATCTGTCCATAGAGCAGATAGTGTAGTTGGAGATGTGGAACCTAGAACAGAAGATGCTGAAAATCAGGGCCAGACAGGTGAATCTGCCCCAGATCCTGGACTAATGGATGAAATTGTCCCTGATGAAATAAATAGGGAAGATCCCCCATGCGTCTGATTAGCCAGGAAGTATACTGCTGTCCCCTACCGCTCATCTTCGATCGTGGGCCCAAGAAGGGCAGCTGATCATGGCCCACCTCACAAAGCATTGATGGTTCTCACTTCACGTCAAGAAGCTGAATCTGCCTCGCCGAAAAAGCTCGTGATGAACATAGCATTCAAAGTCCAAAGCCCTTCAAACAAGCTCAAAAGGCGATAACAGTGCACAACAGGAAAACAAACTTCTAAAACAAATTTTCTGAAATAGCAGATGGACAAAAATATATTAATACGATATCTTCCCTCTCAATTTCAATCATGGTCGAGACAAAAGACGTCAAAGACCAGCGAGGTAAAACAATACTGCGGCCCAAACGATGAGCAGGGTTCAAATGGGAGAGAAAGGTGAGTCCGAGCGAGTTGCAGAGAGTAGAAAACGGTGGGTGGGGTTGCAGATGAGAGAAGGGATAAAGAGGGTAGGGGTCGGGTTGTGGGTAAGCTGGGTCCTGAGGGGGGAGGGTTACGGAGAGATGGGATGGGTGGGGGGGGGGGAAGGGTTATGGGGAGATGGGATGGGTTTCGTTTTTTTTATTTTTTTATTTTTTAAGGGATCTGGGTTTTGGTTTGTGGTGGTGGGGGGAAGGGTTACGGGGAGATGGGATGGGTTTTGTTTTTTTTATTTTTTTATTTTTTAAGGGATCTGGGTTTTGGTTTGTGGTGGTGGGGGGAAGGGGTTTATGGGGAGATGGGATGGGTTTTGGTTTTTTATTTTTATTTTTAGTATTTTTTAATTTAGAAAATTCAGGTTTTTTTTTAAAAAAAAAAAAATTTGCTATGTGGCACACATTTGGCAAACACGTGGCACAAATGTGGCAATTACGTTAGTGCTTAACGGATATGGAAAATATAACGAATGTATTATTTTGAAATAAAATAATGCGTGAGGTATGAAAATGAAATGTTTCAAAGACGTTGTATGAAGTTGTAATAAACCTCAAACCTGAGAGGCTACTATGTAATTTACCCTTCTATTTTTTAACGATATTATCTAGAAAGCTTTTTATGAAAAGAGTATACACAGCACATCATTGTTTTATGTTAACTATTGTATGAAACTACTATTTGCTCTGGTGTGATGTGATAATAATGGGATTGTATCGCTGAACATGTGTCCCCAAGTGGGGAGGTTGATTAGGAGTGCTTGTTAGTTGACTTTTAATTTAATAAGGAATGTTTTGTTTTAAACTCTTTCACATCATAATTATCTTACATTGGCTTGTGATGTCATCTCTCGATGACGCCATATGGTCAATTTAGTGGCGGCCATCATATTACAACCTTGTAACTGGTGTTATTGGGGTCGGCGTATGTCAATTTGCTATCAAAGCCTAGTTAATGCACATACGTTTGCATCGAATGATGCCAGTTGTAGTGCTAAATAATTTAATGTCTACTTGACAGAATTATGTCGCTTAGGTGTGAACGTACTTCTATTTCAGGGCTACAACAGTAAGTTAGCTCAACTAATCTGCAATGCTAATAGAGGTTGCACTCAAGCAGAGTTGACATGAGTCATGGTGCTTACTCCATTGATGGTCGTGGGCTGGAGATAAAGTTGAATCTTGGTTAGAGCATATGGATGATGTCCTCGAAGTTATGAGATGTCCCGAGGATTAGCAAATGAGCAGGAGAGCGCTAAGAACTGGTGGAAAATGGAGCAGAAATATTCTTGCTAACACATCATGGATTTAGAATCTCTTCAAGAAGCAGTTCAGGAACAATTTATGAGTCTCAAATTTCAAGCTATCAACAGGCGAGAATTTCTAGCTCTTGAGCAAGGGGAAATATCTGTGGTTGACTATGAATAGGAGTTTCAACGTCTGGTGGAGTATTGCCTGGGTATTCAAGATAATGCAAAATAGAAGAGGAAGCAGTTCATTGCGGGCTTGAATCCAGAGTTGTGTACTTGTGTGATGGTTGGTGATGGTGTTACCTATGAGACAACTTTTCGCACAGCTCCACAGGTCGAGCAAGTTAATAACAGGAAAGTGGAGAAACAGGTAGCGAAAGGCAAGCAAGCAAGCACTAGGGAGGACAATTCAGTGGATTTAAGAATAAGTTCAAGGCCAATAATATCAAGGAAGCATTGTTGAATGAAAGGTAAAAAGGTTTTTAAGAAGAAGGGTCAGCCTTTAGGGTATACTACTAGCGATGGATCTTATACCACTACACCTCAAGCCAGTAAGGGTTCTACTGGTAGTGATCGATTCTCTAGTAGCGAATCCTGGGGTGGTTCTTTTCAGAAACAATGAACACGGACTCCAGCACATTACGACCTCGTAACTTGTATTATTACTGTCGGCGTCTCATTTTAGGATTAATAATGTGCATATATGAGGGGATCAGTATGGAAGGCGGACATATTATATTGTCAGATCCGTCCCAGGACAATCTTGCTGACCTCTTTATAAGTCACTGTTGAAGTCCACTTTCTAGAAACTTGTTCAAGGAATTGGTATGCATAAATTATCTGATTTGAATTGCTTGTATTTCTCATTTGAAAGTTTTATAATACACAAAGGAGCTTCCAGAAGTATACTTACTTAATCTTAATGTACTATTTTTCCCTACTATTAGGAGCATTTTTTGCTTTGGATTTTTGCTACCTAACAAGGTTTTAACCAAACACCGATCCTGAACTGGTCATAACCTTGTGTGCATTTTACTTGCATCCTGAATGTGTTTAGTTTTGACTTACCAAGTACTCATTTTTCTTCTTAGACTACGGTTTTTTTATCCTATCTAAGGTTTATCATAATAAAGTTTTGTGAGTTCTACTCCTTATTGTGAAGAAATATGAGTAAATCTAAAGATTGGATAAGAACATCCGATACGACGTGAATGTTGAGAATTTTAACAAAAATATGAGTAGATATTATTAATAGATAATGAGGCACGAAGTGAATAATCAAGAATCTTTTTAAAGATGTGAGCTGATATTATTAACACAAAATTTGATTTTAGCTCAAATGTGATAGCGTATTTTAGGGAAAACCCAAAAATTTGAGTAACTTCCAGTTAAACCCTTTGACCAACAATTCACGTAAACGAACTTTCATTTTTTAAGGTGATAATTCAAATTAGAGTTTAGTCAAAACTTGAGTGAAAATTTTATATCGATTTTACCCTTTATGACTAGTTAGTAGGCACAAAATCATGCATAAGATTCCTACAAAATAGAACACTTAAATCTTTGATCTACAAAATGGTAAGCTTGACCCATAATCTAATTGATGTTCTGCATTAACATATATAAGCGTGATATAACTTAAAATTATGTGTAAATTAAATTGCTTCAATACAAGTGGGTACACTTAGATAAAGAACAACTGGAAACCATAAAGACATTGTATTGGATTCAAATTGTAAAAATGTGCACTCCAGCAAGATTCAGGAAACCTTCTCCCTACATGTGCACTCATCAGAAACCACATAATTAAATCATAAACAAGACCTCGGAGGAGGGTGAGGAAACTACCGCAAAAGCAAAATTGGCATATATAAATCAACAACACAAATAGTAATGGAAGGCTCAAAAAGCCAAATAAGAAACAATGGATACAGAGTGAAATATAAACACATAGTAACTTCACGAAACAAAGTTGTTAAGCTTCAACTTATACAAAGTCCTATCATGCATTGCGAGGACTTGAGTGAGTGAAGTGGAATTTCTCGTTTGGAATTGCTTTTTGTACAACTAAAACTGTTTTTTTTTTTTTGTTAAGGAACAGACAAATAGAACTGTTAATGTTTTATAATTCAAGTCTTGAAAGACTTTCTTGAGGGTTATCCTCCTCAGACTCATCATCAAATCTCTTTCCGCTAGTATAATACACTTTGCAAATCAGCTCCTCCTTCATCACTTCGCCAATTAAAAACTTACACACTTCGCAGCTGACAAACATCAAAGTTCCTATCATGAAATCATCTACAGCCATGATGAATAATCATTTGATCTAAAATCACTCGATAATCGATTGAGTGTAGCATGTATCCTCCTCACAAGAATGTGAGAAGATGACTAACTTTTTTCCACTCTACACCATCTCAATACGCCATGGGTGAGGATGTCTTTCCCATAATATCTTTGAAGATATGTAGTTTGAGTGAACGCTCAAGCACCAGAGCATCTATATGCGGAATAAATTTGAAGCCAACGTGTTCGTTAGTCATACATGTCCAAATGCTCACATAAGTAGAACAACCCCATGAGTTACTATTAAAGCATGTAACTAGTTCATCATGTTTGCTTGCACATGCTCAATTGCATTAATTGTATACTATCTCGAATCCATGCGCAGGGTTATCTAAAAACATATGGATGTTGTGAGCAAATAGAGTTTAATGTCACAGAAAGTGAACAGCACTCCAACAATTGGCTCCTGACATCTTAATACGCAGAGATACATGGCTTATAAACGAACCCATTTAAGAAGAGACAGCCCAAGAAATTATACTCGAAACGTTTTTTGTGACAGCTTTGAGAAATCCGAGTACATGTCCCTTTTAGGGTACACTTTGCAAACCAGTTCCTTCATTACTTCACCAATTAAAAACTTGTCCTCCACACTTAATAATCGATAAACATCAAAATTCCCATCGAAAAAGCAAAGGGTCTTATCTACAGACACAAAGTCCACAAATCTCATTGCATGTAAGACATAATAATTATCATATCCAAAGTCACTCGATATAAATTCAATCAATGTATCACATACCCTCCTCTCAAGAATGTGAGAGAACGTCCGACTTTTCTCAGTCTCCACCATCTCAACACACCGTGGGTGATGATGTCTTTCCAATAATATCTTAGTGTATATATAATGATTTTCGATCAGATGATTATTATGTATCATAAGCAATGAGATTTGTGAATGTCGTCGGGTTGCGGATAAGACTCTTTGCTTTCTTGATGGTAACTTTGATGTTTGTCGATTGCGAAGTGTGGAGTAGAAGTTTTTAATTGGCAAAGTAATGAAGGAGGAACTAGTTTGCAAAGTGTACCCTAAAGGGGGATTCTATCTCTCAAAGCCGCCACAAAAAGCGTCTCTAGTACACTTTCTTGGGCCATCTATTCTTCAATGAGTTCATTGTATCTTTGACATATTAAGATATCTATGATAACAAATATCCTTTCTGTCATACAAAACCTACAAGCCAATTGTTGAAGTGCATAAAGTTGTTCACTTGTCGAGGCATGTATGCCTAAATCCAAGTGTCGACCACCACTTTCTTCACTCGTAGCATCCATATGTTTTTGGACAGCCTTGCGCATGGACTCACGGTATAGTATTTAATAGATGCGGTTGGGCCTGTGCAAGCCACTTGGCGAAGCCCATTACCTCCTTGTTGAAACCTATTGCATGCTTTAACTATACATTGTGGGTTATTCTATCTATTTAGCATTTGGGCTCATATGACTAACGAACCTGCTGATTTCAAATTTGTTCCCTTACATAGATGATTTGGTGATCGAGCGTTCACTCAAACTACATATCTTCGAAGATATGTAGAGGGTCTCATTATTAGTCTGAATCGAGAATCTGCCTCCATCATGATATAATAAGGCCTTATAATAAGAATAAGGATAGTGCCTTTATACCTGAAAAATCGCAATACAAGACATGGTATTGTGCATGCCTGTTATTTCCTTACACGAACAAAAGATAGCAATTCGAACTATAACCACAACTTAAGGTTTTATATTTAGCAGTGAATAGAACACGAATACATCCTCATAAGAGGGCAAGTAAACTACCACAAAAACAAAACTGGCATGTATAAATCAACCGTACAAATAATACCTGAATGCCCGCATGACTGTTGAGATAAAAGTTGAACTCCCTCATATGACAAATCTGGGTGTCAACAATAGTGCCTGACAAGGTAATAATAGTTAAAGCACGAAATGGAAAAAGATCAAATTTACAATATCTCAATGCGCAAAACAGAAAAGCATCACATGCACTACATCTTAATGCATCTAAAATTTGCAACATGGTTGAAAATTGCCACTCTTATCAGTTTGTACCACAACAAAGGCAACTGGTGGCAGATATCCCTCCTGCATCGATTGACAAGCCAAATGTTAGCAGAGCGTTGTGTCATTTTTCTTGACAAATGTTAGCAGAGCATTATGTCTTTTTTCTTGACCACAGCAAAAACAATTCTTACATGAAGAGGATAATTTTCTCTGGTTTTCGGCCAGTTTCTTGTCAAAATGCTCCGAAATGCTCCCTAGCACAATGAATTTACGAGTGAACTTACATCGGCAATTACCGGACTGCTGTACTTCCCAAGTTGAGGATGGGTAACATCCGCACCAAAGATGATTGCGGGAATGTCACTAACTAGAGGAATCCTCCTTTGAATGGCAACAGTGTTCCTTCCACTAACCTACAACAGTTTTACATGTGTCAATATTTCAATGCTCCGAAAATGAACAGTTGGATACATGGGAGGGTTAGCAAAGTAATGACGCATAAGAAGTTCATGACCACTTACCCTATCCCTTGGAATGCGTTTTTGGCTTGATGATGTGCCACCATGTTTAGCCTTTGTGACTTTCTTCCCCTGAATTCTTTGTCATTCCTCGTGCATAGTTGTCGTCACCACAGCTTGATTGTCATGGTCAAAGGATGAGTTATAATACCCTTGTTGTGCCATTATGGTTTGGTAATTGAGAAGGATAATTTTGAGGGTTTGAAGGATGTATGCAAAAAATAGGATGAATGTGAAAGAGATAGAGACATCATTTTTATAGTGAAAGGTTAAAAAGATAGATAACAATCCGATGGATGAGATTGAGATAAGAAAATCTCATCCAATGGTTGCAAGGGGTTGAAATCTTTATCTGGAGCAAAAATATCTGATCATGACATAGGCACGACATAATCCAATAATTTAGCCATGTCACAATTCAATAATGTAGCCATTCTAGTTACTATTTTTGTGAAGAACAAAAAATTGGTATCAAAATTTGAATTTTTTTTTATTGAAATGTTCACAAAAATATTTTACGACAACATAATGTTAATCTAATTAAAAAAAAAGTTAACATAAACAAAAAATTGCAACTAATCAAATTATTACATAAAATCGTAAAAACCTCAAATTTGGGGCTTCTATTATAATGACTTTCCCATTTGAGGGAATATTATTTTAGGAACACAAAAATTTCCTTTTAAGTTCCTAAATGAGTCGTCAAAATGTGGTGGTTGGTTGGGTTGAAATTTTTACCAAATTATCATACCAACTACCCTACCAACCATACCATACCAAATTATTACCAAAAATTTGTACCAATTGGTAATGAAACGGTATTTGTACCATACCATACTGTTTCGGTACGGTACTAGTATCCAAAACCAGTACCGATGGTATACCATACCTACCAATATTATTAATATTATATTATGTATTTATTCATATAATTATTTGAGAGAAAAATTAATAAAATTAATAATAATTATTGTAGAAGTGTAAAAAATGTAAAATATATATATACAGTCACTCATAGTGACAAGCTTTATAACTTTCATGAAGGGGTCAGCTTCAAAATCCAAAACTATAATCCATAAATCTTAAATTTATATTTAACCGTTGATTGTCATTTACGTTTTATTTATCTTACTAAATTTCATTTTTTAAATTTTCTTTTTTTTGAAAACATGATCATCTAGCGGATGTAAGAAGATGAATGGTTTAGATTTTTGATATCACATTTCGATATTTATGGTTAACTGAAATATGAGTCGATATCATATAGTTTGTAGACACTTTATAAACATCAAGCAATATTTTCACTAACTGTAAAACTCTAAACATATTATCAACGATCCAAACCATTCATCTTCCTGTATCCTCTAATAGATCATGATTTCAAAAAAGAAAATTCGAAAAAAAAATTGATGAGAAAAATTAAGCATAAATGTAAACAACAATCAACGGTTAAATTTTGATCTATGATTTATATGATTATAATGGCGAATTTCAAAGTTAAGCTCTTCACGAAAGTTGTAAAGCTTGTCATTATGAGCGTTTATATATTTTTTCTATATTTTTTACACTTGCACATTAATTAAAAAATATTAGTTTTTGGGCAAACTAAGTGGCGTAAAACAAAGTGGCAATTACCATTGGCATACCATACCAACCAAACTATTTGGTATACCGATATTTGATATACCAAAAATTTGGTACGGTAATTGTAATAGATTTTACCGTACCAAATATTTGGCATGGTAATTGGTATAGAGGTTTTGGTACGGTAATGTACCAAAACCACCCCTAGTGGTTGGATTCCCAAAATTCCATTAGAGTCGATATTCTTTTAGAAACACAAAAATTTCCTTTTTGAGTTCCTAAAATCTCAGGAAGGGAGAGAGAGGAGGGGTGGAGTGAGGTTCCTTCATCTCCCTACTTTTAGTATATATATGACATGGGTGGTTAGTTGAATTTTTAATTGAATCATTAACAAGAAAATCAACTATCAACCGCATGGTAGTTGGATTCTTTATTATTAAGAAAAAAATTAACTATCACATTATGTGTTTTAATAAATAAAAAAAAATCAATCATCAATCACATGGTGATATTTTCGAATACTAAGAAAGAATCAACTATCAATTGTCACATCATGTTTTTTACAAAATAGAAATGATAACATGACTCTCTCACAGTGAGACTCTCTATGGACTCCCACAACCTCACAGTTTAATAGGATGAATGTGAAAGAGATAAAGACATCATTTTTCTAGTGAGAGGATAAAAAGATAGATAACAATCCGCCAGATGAGATTGAGATAAGAAAATCTCATCCTGTGACGACCCGTCCCGAATTAAAATATATTTTATCCTCGAGTGCGTGGAAATGACTATTTTGCCCTCGTGGGCCTTGTGACGTGGATTATATAGTTTTAAATTATTTTCCTGCCAATGTGATCAATTGTATTCGACGTCACGAGGGTGTTGACGCGAGTTAGGGCCGAATTAGGTTTGTAACGAAAATGTTACGGATGAATAAGTGAGATTGAGTTGGTTTTATTATTATTTGGACCAATCAGATAGGCCTTAAATCCCATAGCCCAATTAGGGCTTGAGACCATTTTAAATTGCCCAATCCAGACACATGCACACACATGTGCAACCTCACCTTCTCTCCCTTCCCTTCTCGAATTTTCTTCTTTGTTCGTACAACCGAAGACATCACACTCAAACTGAACCAGAACCTCACAGATCGAGTGTAAGGTTAGCATTATTGTGCTTCCCTCGACCTCACGAGTCGAGCCGTACCCTTGGTTTGAGGAGAGGAATGGTAGAACTGGTAGAACTCGAGATACCCGAGCTCCGGCAAGGAGTGCAATTTTCTCCGACGTGATCGCGAAGGTTTTAGCTAGTTTTGAGACTTAAGAAGGTTTAGTCGAAATTACGAGGAATTTTTCGACTATTTTCCATCGGATTTAGGTCTTCAAAGTGTTTCCGGTGACACAGATGGCGGCCAACAACGGAATTCGGTGAACCACCAGAGAAGAAGCAAAATATTCAGTCAATTTTGACGGAATATACTAACTGCATCAGGTGAGACATTTCTGGAAGACGAGCGCAGTCAGGCGAGATACAGGGGTTACGACCCTGCCACATATCAGTGAGTGGGCTTTTGATTTAATATATGTATATATGCCTTACGTTTTTCCCAAAAAAATTGATTGAAATGATTTTGTATTTTAGATGCCATGTCAAATGCTTTATATTTTAGAATATGCATTAGTAGTTATGTATGTTAGTATTTGACGCTGCAGACGCTCAGTAAGTTCCAGGTGAGTATATGTAATAATGATTGTGAGTTGCATTATGATGGTTATACATAGATGCATTTAAAGCTCATAAACTTGCACCCCAGTGTTAGTGCTCTAGCCCGTGGCCAGGGCACAACTCTTCACGTGATGTTCACCTCACATACCACATGCTCACCTTGGATCCAAGTTTGGTGCACAACCCTGTTGTACAGACCACAATAGGTGATTCTGACTCTTAGGTGACCCGCGATTTATCGCACAACCTTCATGTGATCGTAGTACTTGAGCGTACTTATTACACCTAGCCATGTCGTACAGACCATACTAGGTGATTCTGACTCATGTGCAGACATATTTGATGAGCTATAAGTTCAGCCGTACAGGCCACACAAGGTGGATTCGGCTGACATATCACTTTACATTGATTTACTTCACCTGGTTTACTTAATTATTATGCTGAGATATTTGACATGGCATATATATGGATTTCACTATTTTTTAGTATGGTTTCTGTATATGTATGTATGCTAGTTTCTGGAAAATTATACGGGTTTTACGGTGAAGGGTTATTACTTTTGGAAAGAGAAATGGTTTTGAAAAGCTTTGTTTTTGCCTACTCACACTTTCTATTTTGCGCCCTTCCAGGTTCTGGGTAGGCGTGCTTGTTGGTGGCTTACGAGGAGTCGACGACAGTTCTGATAGACTATAAATAATGTAAGACCACCTCTCTGGTATTGTATAATTAGTACTTAACATGCTAGACTGCACTTAGGTTACCTACACTTTGCATAAGTGAAACTATACTTAAATATCTTCACTTGCACTTATATATTAGTATAGTGTAAATTAGTTAGTTTGGTTTTGTTTACTCACACTTTCATATCACTATCACTTCTGCACTGCGCACATAGCTTCATCACCTTCACGTGACGGCCATCACTGCTCGATTTGGGTCGGGGTGTGTCAGTTTGGTATCAGAGCCTAGGTTTGGCAGTCCTACATATTTTGTGAGTATTCTAATTATTTTGGTGTCTTTTTTTCAGAACCATGCCGCCTCGTAGAGAGCCATGTACTTCCGCTGAGTCTAGTTTCCCCGATATTACTCAACTTGGGGAAGCAATTGCCAATGTCATTCAGTCTTCGCTTCGTCCTCCCCAGAAGACTCCCTTGGAGACTGTGTATAATCTAAAGTTGAATAATTTTTTGGGTATTGACGGGCCTGAGGGAGCCTAGTGTTGGCTCAATCATATTGAGAAAACTTTTTGATTGATGCATAGACAGGGAAATCCTCCTAAAAAGATTTGTACCCCTAGAGTATATAGATTGTAAGAAGCAAGAATTCACACACCTAAAGAAAGGAAATATGTCAGCTAATGAGTATTATCGTAAGTTTACTGATTTATCTCGTTATTGCCCTGAGATTGCTGCAAATTCCGCAAAGATGCTTCGCCATTTTAGATTGGGTACTAGAAAGAAATGGCGTTTCCACGGTGACCACGACTCTATGTGCTACATAGCAGGAGTTTTATGAGATTTTACTATGAATTAAGGATTATGAAAATATGCCCAGTGACAGCGAGGAAGAGGAAGAAAAAGATAGTAACCAGAATAATAATAAAGATAAGGGCTAGTCATCACAAGGACCTCGCAAGACGTAGACTTTTAAGAGAAGTGGTACTAGTTCCAATTCTTCCAGTGCGGGTTTAAGTTCTACTGCGCCGAGGAGAGGTGGCCGGTTTTTAGGTGGTTCTAGGTTCCAAAGATAGAGGGATTCCAGTAGCACAGGTGCTCCCTTGTGTTGTAGGTGCAATAATCGGCATTTTGGGGAATGTAGACGAGGTAGCAGTGGATGCTTCACTTGTGGCCAGATAGGACATCGGGCTATTTAATGCCTGCAGAACCAGCAGAAGCCCTAACCACCTTCGTTACCACCACTAGTTCCG